GCGGTTTCGGGCATGTGGATACAGCCGTACGTGCAGTGGTTGCCGTCGAAGCTGAAACGCCCTCGAAGCTGCCCGGGCCCATTCCATTCCTCTTCTCCTTCACCAGCGGCGGCGGCGCCCGGCGGATGGCGTTCCTCGGCGACCGGTGCTGGGTGGCGTCGGGGAACGACACTTTGGTATGGGAGCGCGGGACCGTCGAGCGCCGGTCCGACGCCGGCGGCGTCGTCGCCATCGGCGTGCGCCTCGAGGGGAGCGACGCCCTCTGGGAGTGCGACTTCGCGAGTCCCGGTGCGCTGGACGCGGCGATCAAGCCCTGCAACAACGAGAAGCCGCTGGCCGTGCCGGACCTCATCGCGCTGACGCACCTCCACGAGGCCGCGATCCTCGACGTCGTCCGCGCGCGCGCGGCCGCGGGCGTCATCTACACGGCCGTGGGCCACTGGGCAGGAAACAAAAATATTCAACACGACTTCAACATTCATGTATTCGAACGGTTTCGACGTACTTTTTTCACTGTCTGAAAAGAACTCGCCGAGAGAAAACGATCCGTCCAAAAATCAGCCGAATCGACTTCGATGTGACCGAGCTGGAGAGGTTTGAAGTTGTTGCTGGACAGGGCGTTCCACTGGTTGTTTCCGGCACAGGTGGGCCAGATCCTGCTGGCCGTGAACCCCTACAAGCCGCTCCCGCGGCTCTACGGCGACGACGCGCTCAAGGCCTACCGCGCGGCGGAGTCGGCGTCGGCGCTCGCGCCCCACTGCTACGGCGTCGCCGCGGCCGCGTACCGGGCGATGCGGCGCACGGCGCTGGGCGCGCTCGCGGGGCCCCGGGACCAGGCCATCCTCATCTCCGGCGAGTCCGGCGCGGGCAAGACGGAGACGACGAAGTTCGTCATGCGCTTTTTGGCGTGCGTGTCGTCCGGCGCGACGTCCTTCGAGGCCGTCGGCGCCGCGGGCATCGAGGCCAGAGTATTGAGCACGAACCCGCTCACGGAGTGCTTCGGCAACGCGCGGACGCGGCGCAACGACAACTCGAGCCGCTTCG